CTTCAGAATCCAGGTAAGAGTTGGTGGACGAGTTGATAACACCCTCGATTCCCAACGGCCATGAACGGGGATCGAATCCCTCGTTAACATTTTGTTTAATATGTGAATAACCTTTACGTATTATTCATTGTTGCAAATATCATAAACTAGGTTGTTCTCTTGTTGAGCGGTACCTAATAAAGTGATTTTGGAAGGAGAGAATTCAGGTGAACTCAATCCCCGATTCAGACGCCCTGGTCCTGATGCTGAGCTGGGAACCTATCCTTCAGCTGCTACCTACCTTCCTACAAGCCACCTGAGCAATTACTTATATGTAAAAATCGCAGTAAGGACAGTAGAAATTGTTTTATCTTAAAAAGAATATTACGCCTCTAAAATAGTTTTATAATTTGATAACAGATGGCGCTCTAGTACATCGTACTTATATGTAAATAACCATGTCAAAGAAGATTTGCATGCGAAAATATAAACCTGTATAAACCGAAAAATATATATAATTATCTCTTTGTTATAAATCATTAAAATAAAACAATTATTTTTAAAAACAATTTAAAAAATAAAATTATAAAAAAGGTAAGGTGTTGTTAGCTTTTTAGATGGCAGAGCGCTATATAGTGGAACTGTGGAATAAATTCTTGATTTATCGAGAAATGGGTTGGCCCAATATCATAGAACAAGCTAAATTAACGTTTAGTTTATTTCTGTTACACTAGATGGCGCTCTGCCATCTAAAAGCTCATGTTAGTATGGTCAGGATATGCCTTTTTTGATTTTAAAACAATCCGCTATCGCTTCCCGATAGTTTTTAACAACATTCAAAGACGTATCACCAGCGATACCCTGTACAAGAAGCTGTCACGCGCCAGAAACTCTGCTCGGCAGCCGAAATGAGATTCCGGGTTACAACCCTGAACACCGGCGGTACCTGCCCACCTGGCGACACCAATGAAGCTTTGTATAGATTTCATTGTGTATATTCATCCTTGTCTTTTCATATTTATTTTAGTTTTCATTTATCACTATAATTTTTTATGAATAAAAAGTAATAAAAGTATTTTCAATCTCTCTCTCTCTCTCGGCCGTGCGGCCACGCGGCGGGCGAGCTCCGCGTTCTTATGGGATAGAGATTGAGGAAATGGAGATCTGTAGCCTCTATGGGGTATTGGCTGAAAGCCAAAATAATGGGCTGCAAGCTCATATAAATAATTTCAAAAACGGCCAAGTTTTCGCCGAGATATCGACAAAATATTCTGAAATGATTGAAAGTCATTTAGAATTAACTAATGGCAAAGATGCAAGATGCAAAGACGTATCTTTTGCATATCCCAAGGTAGATCTCAAATCTCACACAGGCAACAACCAGACATTCCCAAAACCTACCCGTTAGAATATTTCTGCCTTTCTCTTTAAAATAGTTGCTCAGAAATGTTGGATCAACAGAACATTTAAATGACCCTTATCAATATAATAAAGAACATTACAATTCTCTCCGTTAGTGCCAATCATTTTACTGATGGCTCGCACTATCTGTCCGAATAAATATCAACAACAAACAACAACAACAACAAAAGCCTTTATTGAGGACCTCTCGTCCTATAAAGGATTCGCCAGTTTACAGAGTAATTGAAGAGAAGAGAACTAAGAATACAGAGAGAAACCTATATGTAGTAGGTATAGTATAGTATTTTCTACACTGTGACTATATACAACAGCAGTAACAAGCCTTTTACTGGAATCAAAGTCCCATACAGGATTCGTCATTCTAATCCTGACAAAGATTATTTACATATAATTATTTACATCAATTAGTAAATATCAACGGTTAGTTGATATTTTTTCCGAGAAATGGCGCAAGCCATCAGCAACTTTTAGTTGCACGATCAGGAGATGCCTTTTTGTCTTAATACAAAAAAGTCCTGAGGTATTAAAATTATTTACTTCTCCTGACGAAGTTTTTTGTCGAAACGTTGAGAAAAATAAAAACTCTAACTGGCCGAAGTGTCTATTTTTCATAGAAAAACAAAAAGAAAAGTCAACAAAGATTTTAATACGCATTGCCAACAGATATTTTCTGTCAGACCTATTAAGGAACGAAGTCCCAACAACACAGTCCATGATAACAATGGCAGAACCTATGGAATAAATGGCTGGCTCATGGAAGAAATTATATTTTAAAAACTTAGCTTCCATAAAAATTCAAAGGTTGGAACCACTCACCCACCCTGCCCAAATTCTTTGTTGTATTCAAGAATGGACTAAAAATATTTTTTTATTCTTATATTCTGAAGCTAAAGATTAAAAAAAAAATGGATTCAGTGATATAGTCGGTGGACGAGGAGGTAACACCCTCGATTCCCTACAGCCATGAACCGGAATTGAATCCCGCGTTAACATTTTGTTTAATATGTGAATAACCTTCATATATTATTCATTGTTGCAAATATCATAAACTAGGTTGCTCTTTTTGAGCGGTACCTAATAAAGTGATTTTGGAACAATGGATTCAGTGCATCAATTCAGGAATATTTTGGTCATGTCATTAGAATAAGAAGTGAATGCTGAAAGAAAACTATTATTTAAGGGGGTGGTTGAAGGAAAAGATGGAGAAGACAAAATCCAGAAGAAGCTGTACTGAATCAATTTGACAGAACGAGATGGAGAAATTCATCATCAACAAGTCCAGGAATTTCCAGTAATGGTCGAACGAATAAACAACTCTATAATTTTATTTATTTATTTCAATTCTTATTTTCAATAGTGTTGTGTATAAATATGTGGCAATATTTATTATAGAGAAAAATCACAATAATTATATTTGCATAGATAAAATCTCTGAATTCCAACTTCCTAAGTTGCATATGTTAGGGGATATGTGAATGAAGACCCTCCGCTAACGAAAGACGTTGAAAAAAAAAAGCAAAACCAAAAGAGGCGCGAAGTTGCAGTAAATTCCTGATTAACGGCCAACGTCGTTAAGCCTCGTTTGTTAAATTTAACCAGACGATCGATCAAGGAACCCGAGTTCGTCTGCTTGGAATTTATGGTTAGTTTCGTTTGGTCCTTAATAACCCCTTTGTTTAAATAAACCTGTATATATAAATTCACAAATAATTAGCCCAAGTTTTGAAAATATTTTTTAAAAATTTTGGTGATATATAATTTGGTTTGTAAGTATATATATATATATTTAAGCTGCTATGATGATTCCAAAATCTCCCGTCTATTTTACGTATTTGGATTTAGTGTGGAAGTCGGTGGATGAGTGGTCTAAACCGATGAGGTTTCGACCTCTACGACCCGGGATAGAATTCCGCATTGGCTACTTTTTTTAATGCTCCAATGGCCCCCGATTCTTTCAAAAGTCCAACCCCAACCAGCGAGTACTAGTAAACAAACGGGGCTCTGGCACACTTGTAAGTGTAAAAGTTGAACTGCACTTTTCACATGTGCAGACATGTGGTGTACCTACAGTAAAAGGAGTCGCTAACTTCTACCTACCATGATTATTCTTGTAGGGGTGTAGACAAGGTACTTGGTTACACTTAGGACAAGAGCCTTGCACTAACTAATTTATTAAAGCATAGGTTATATAAAGATTAAAAAGGGAAAGAGAGGAAACAAAGAGGTTACATCCTCAGTAGAAGGTAAACAAACAACAGCGTTGTTAGGCTAAAGTTTTTAGTCAGTAGGAGGGGGGGGGGGGCGACGTCATCCTTCCGGTCACGTATTATACTTGAGTGGCGGCGCTGGTGTCCAACAATTATCATGGTCTGTACCATGTGTGTGTACTAGAGAGGGATAATAATAAATAATAATAATAATAAATTTAGGGAGGGTTCTTAAAAATTAAATTTATAAAGTTTGTACTCCAAAAATATTTTCCCATTTCATTTTCTCTTTTGCAATAATTACTTCTCTCCGTAAATTAATTTGTCAGAACAATTACCGAATGAGATGAGAACCAGCAAGTTTAGATATAAAATTCGTAACAATAACTTTCTGGCAATTTGTTTCTTTTTTTATATAAATCATCAAATATAATCTCTACAGACCTTACTGCAATGATAAAAGTTATTGAATGAGAGAGCTTGGCTCCTCAGTAGTGAACCCTCTCAGCAGTTTCACCAAATTAATCTCCAGACCGCTCTACTATTGTATTGGACTGGTTTTCTTGTATACCTTGAATTTACAACGGAAGACAGCTTAGGGGTGTTTAGTGAACCTATGGACATAAGCTTATAGGTCTGTAGAGGTTCATACATATAATTTCAAGGTATTGTATCGAGCAAAGCTCTTCCAAAAATATGGTTTCATATTGTCAAGTAGCTCTGCAACTCCGGTCACAAGAGGCCCCATGGGACGCCGGTCAATCATCCCTGGACTCCGGGGGTGGGGGCCACGGGTGTGAGGGGTTCTCGGAATCTGGTCGGCGGGGTGGCTGACGTCGCTCATTAGGATTATCTTTAACTTGGGGTAAGTTGTACTCTCTCTCTCTCCCTATAAATACCCCTTATAATAAATTAATTATCCCCAAACTTGCCCTTGCTTTATTTATCTCCGCGACAAAGCAATATTAGCAAATTACATTTAGAAATTAAATGTTATCTATCTTTACAATTTTTAATAATAAATTTCCGGTAATTTGTTTATTGTTTACATAAATCATAAAATATTATCTCTACAGACGTTACTGTAATGATAAAAGTTATTGAATGAGATGGCTTGGCTCATCAGTAGTTGAATTGGTTTAAAAATGTATAAATGTTTAGATATATTTTGTTCGAAAAACTCGGAGTGGCTAAAGAACTGTGTTACTGGAGAGAGATTGATATTGACACTGATTTATTAATCGTTCATATATAAGATTATATAAGGTTATATGAAGAGAGAAAATTCAAAATTAAATGCGGGATAATTTTCAAATGTCGTTCTATAATCATAATCCGCATTATATTGTATTATAAATTACTTTATATAATATTTACGAACGTAAAAATATGTCCAGGGTAGCCTAGTGGACATGGCATCTGCCCGGTAAGCGGAACACTGTGGATTCGATTCCCATCCCTGGTTACTATTATTTTTCCGTTTATCATTACTTTTCACAATTCATCCTGCCATACTTCATCCTTAAGGTTAGAAATAATCGTTATTTCTCCTTAAAATAAATTTCGATTTTTCGTTCAAAAGAAACACATGCGGGATAATTTTCAAATGTCGTTCTACAATCATAAGCCGCATTTTATTGTATTATAAAACTCAATTACATCAGACGAATCTAACTGAGGGTCGTTTGGTTCGATGTCACATTCCGTCCTACTAGAGGGAGAGAGATATGGGAGGTGTTCACCCAGGAAGGTAGACAATGGAGCTCATGGACTATTTCAGGAGATGACCCTATGATATCATCAAAAGTTCTGGCAGAACAACAATACAGCCCACCAATCTATAAGCTAAGGAGAAATGAGTACCAATTATAGAGGACCAATTTATTCCCAGAATTGGTTGAGTAATTTGAAGGAAAATAATGCATAGCAGTTTTCTTCACGACTTGAACAATCCATATGCCTTTTTGGAACGCAATTTTAATTTGGTATCATACTGTAGCTTTTTAAAAATGATGATGATAATAAAATTAAAAGCGTATTTTTTGGAGTGTTCGGTATTTTGGTACTTTATCATGTTAACTTGACTATTTTTTGGATGTTTAAAGGGGCGTATAATATGATTAAAATTAGAAATTTGAACCGTCGCATATGCGACGGAACAGTTCAAGAATATTCGAACTATTCTTGATTGATAAAATCTACCAATATACAGAAGGATGAGAGATAAAGCTTTGGATCTTTATAATACAAAGAATAAAAAACCCAAATATTAATATGATTCATAAATACATCCTCTAAATAAATTTGTTTTTAAAGGTATACTGTGGAAAAAAGGCATTATTATTATTCCAATTCCAATATTACCCATTCCAAGAGTCTAGCATCAGTATCACTATAAAAGGAAGTTCCAAAAATGCAATATAACAGCGGTATGGTAGATTAAACTGGCGAAACCGCTGGGAGGGTTCACCACTGATGAACCAGGCCCTCCCATTAATTTTTCCATTGCAGTAAGGGCAGTAGATATTGTTTTATTTTTAAAAGAATCATACGCGTCTAAAATAGTTCCTTGAATTATTATTATAACAAAAAAAGGAAGTGAAAAAGAATTCTGAGAATAGAAGCCCCTATATTATATTTTATATATAGTTTTTCGCTGCTTAATGCAACCACGGACTTAAAAAAAAACATTACACGCTGGTTGGCTAATAAACTCGACGCTGATTGAATCATTAAGGTCATATGATACTAGAAAACCAATCAGCGCTTGAATAAAACGGATACCAAAAGATATTATCTATTAATATCGGAGTTACTATCCAGGTTCCTGAAGACTCACTTGTACACATGCTGCCAACTACCCAAGCTGACCTTCAGGCCTCAGTCTTTTGCTGTTTTATTCACAAGGCAAGTGGAGGCCCAATCCATGAGGTGACGCCAAGCAATCTTGGAAGATTTGGAAGGAATGCTTGGTTTAGATTTGATGTGTCACCTAGGCGAGAGGCCGTTTGATATTGGATAGAATCACAAAGGCTATTAGACAGTCGTAGTATAAATGTAACTTGTCAATTCAAAGAAGACATCAAATAGATTATCTGGAATGCTGCAATGTTGCCGCATAAACTGTTTCTACTTAACAAAGGGTCTGTTAAATGGTGCGGGAATCATGTCCAAATATATAGCATCGATTTTGACATCATTTTCTGCCCCATTTCCAACTCAATTGGAAGAACATAACGTAGTACCATAGAAAACAGAAATACATCAACCACCTCCTCTTAAACCTTTATAGACAAATGATAATAGAGAGGAAATGATATAAATAATCGATGATATCTCTGGAATTTCTTATTGTACTTCATTGCATAGTTACATAGTGTACATAGAGAGAAAATATGAACTATTTATAGCTTTTATAAGCCAGATGAAGAGCGTTTCTTTGCTCGAAAGCTCGATTTTTCACATTAAAATATACGTATTGTTAATTTATATACAGTAGAACCTCCACGAGAGGACACTCGCTCTAGAGGACACCTCTCTACAAAGGACAGTTTTCATTTGCAAAATTATCATTTTTACTATTTAACAACTATCCGGTAAGAGGACACCTCTCCCTAAAGGACACTTTGGCTCTACAATTTGATGTCTTTTACAGGGAGGTTCTACTGTGTATATATAATTAATTCCTATTTAACCATTATAACACACACAAAGCTTTATTAAGACCACCGGTCTTATACAGATTCACCACAGGAAGGAAGCATAGATGGAGCTCCTATACTCCAGGCAGCGCAGCACCCAACAACAGACTCCAGGCCCGACGCATGTCCAATGGCCACACGTTCCTTTGTGCATACGTCAAGGTTAGCGAATCACTGAACAGGCTAGTGTGGAATCAGCCGTGTTCTAGTCTTCACTTTCCTCGTCCAAATGGACCACGGCATTCGGCGATTCTATTAATCTCCTCCGAACGGTGACTGCGGCCTTGTAGAATTTATATAAACCAAAAAGAAGACCGTGATCAAACGTCATTGCATTCATCCAGTTATAAGTTTGTTGATTATCGGATTGAGACAAGGATATATCACGCAAGAGTTTAGCCATTATAACAATTTTACCTAAATATATATACTATAGCACAACATATTTGTAATGACGAGATACGAGAAAGAGGGTTCTACTCTCCCTCAGTACCAAGAGAGATCTCACAATATAGATATAGACAGACAGCCATAGGTGTTCGACACTCACCAAGGGGCCGAAGTCTGGTCCGTGGTCCGAACCTGACAGGGGCAGAGGAGGGCCTCCGTACCTTGGCATTCCTAGGGATGGCTCCTCCCGACTCCTGATTCATAGGGACTTCCGTCAACTTGATCCATCAACCTGAACACAGAACTGGAATCACACAGGAACCACGGCGTCCTCTTTACAAACCACTTCAGGCTATAGAGAAATTTTCATAATCCCCCTTACTCTACTGCAATGATGGAATAATTAGACAATTAACATAATGTTGTTAACATCTTGTCAATACATTGAAAAGTGCAAAGTCTTCACTAATTTAAAATGATAATTATGCATATACCTGACACTATGTACAATTGTAGAACGACATTTGAAATTTATCCCGCATGTGTTTCTTTTAAACGAAAAAAAAACCTAAATTTATTTTAAGGAGAAATAACGATTATTTCCAACCTTAGGGATGAAGTATGAAAGGATGAATTGTGAAGAGTAATGATGAACGGAAAAATAAGCCTAGTGGACATGGCATCTGCCCGGTAAGCGGAACACTGTGGGTTCGATTCCCATCCCTGGACACTTTTATTTTTCCGTTCATCATTACTCTTCACAATTCATCCTTTCATACTTCATCCCTAAGGTTAGAAATAATCGTTATTTCTCCTTAAAATAAATTTCGGTTCTTTCGTTTAAAAGAAACACATGCGGGATAAATTTCAAATGTCGTTCTACAATCATAAGCCGCATTATATTGTATTCTAAATTACTTTATACTATGTACAATGTACATGGCTGCAGAGTTTGATGGAAGATCGCCAGCGGGTCTTCAGCGACACCACGTATTTCGCGGTCTACAAAGTAAACGTAGATCGCGTTCTTCGCCGCTGAGGAGATTGTGGAATATTTAGATAAGAAGGATTGTCTCATCATGATGAAACCTCTCAGCAATTCAACATTGACGAGCCAAGCTTTCTCATCTAATTCTCTTTCCTCGCAATAAGGTTTGTAAAAGTAGTTGTTGTCGATATGTATTCGAAAATAAACGTATTAATAACAAACTGTTTTATTAAAGACTTAGGTCTTGTAAGAATTCTCGGTACATCATTGCTTATTGAAGAAGAAACAATGAAACCTATTCTGATAATTAAAAGTAATTTAAAATTATTTTGACACGTCTTTTTGAAATGATACTAGTTTCTACTCTCCTTACTGCAGTGATAAATTAATGAGAGGGCCTGGCTCATCAATGGTGACTAAAAGGAGACTTGGTACTTTGAAAGTGGCCAAACAAACTGTTTATACAAGAGAGTTACAGTACAACCATGATGGCCATGTATATACTTGGTAGGAGATATTTAACAAAATGATAGTAATATCAGTGTTGGAGCTTGGTTCCTGACAATGTTAGCCAGGACTTCCTTCAGCCTCTAGTCTGGTCTCAGGTGGTGAAGATATATGGCAGAGCTTGTTATTGACTGTACTTTACGAGACCAGACCGGCGGATTGACTACTGAGAATGTTGTCCCTTCGCAAGACTTCGATGTAGCAAGCTGTTTGAATAGAGGAAGGACGCCTCACTCCTTTTAGCTGAACGACTTATTTTATTGAATCATTCACTCCTTTTATATACATATTTACATAATTAAAATAAAGAAATAAAAATTTACAAGATTATAGAACAATGCAGCCTAGCAAGTTATTTATATAACTAGGCGCAAACAATCGGAAGGAATTGCTTTCTTCTTCTACTCTTACAAGGTGCACATTCCTCGAGCTCTTTCTGTGTTTGGATTCAAGTTGAGCCAGAATAGTGAGATCATTGAAGAAATGTATATTGTTTCGAAAAAGAGGGGATCGATGGACGAGTAGTATCGCCAGTTTAATCTACCATACTGCTGTGATATTGCATTGAGCTGTTTTCTTTTTATTACCGATACTTTGGCTGATCTCATGGAAAAGGTATTTTAAATTAATTATGAAGATAATTTATCATTTCAGTAAGGACAGTATAAAATGGTTTTATTTCAAAAAGAATCATACGCGTCTCAAAAATAGGTTTAATTTCTTATCACAGATGACGTGCTATAATGCATCATATAATTAAGAGTGTAGATGGAAATTTTGCCGGGAGGATATAAAGAGACAAAGGTCGCCTCTCCCGTCAAAATAGACGTCAAAACTAGACGCCATCTATTGACCGTCACTGCAACTAGCGGCCTCGGA